TATATACAGGGTGTCCCAACGACAAGGAAAATTGTTTAATAGAAAAGCTATATAAGATATTCGAAACCAGTTTGCACAACAAGAAAATATACAGGGTCTTGCACAATTCCGTGGCGCAACAAAATTTTTTTTTTACTGTAACACCCTACAGTATATTAGATATTTGGAAAGACCGTACGAAAACAAGAAGATTGATTTAGTTTTTTGATCGCCACTTATTTTATCATTTGTCTGAAAAAGTGTCTATCGTTGAAGGCTTTGAATCCTGCCAGTCTGGGTAGTTTTTAATTGAAATTTGTCAGGATGCTGCAAATGTTTTTTTGATATCAGGTTTATTACTGCTTTATTTGATCGGCTACTTGATTACATAATAAAAGGTATACATACTGTAATGGTCAAAAGTATATAGACAAATTAATATTGTGCTGTATTTCTTTTTTAACTTGTTTTATTAATACACCAACCTGTATACATAATTCTTTATAGCATAATACTCACTTATACATAAATTCATTAGACTCCCTTCAATAAAAAATTAATTGAAAAAAATATATAGACAAAGCAAAACAATTATAGAAAAAAAAGCAAAGTTCATTGAATTATAGAAAACCAACCATGTTTGTGTTAATATTTTGTAGCATAATGTTACGAAAAATAATACATCGGGTCCAAGGACGGCAACGTCGGAAGACTAGATAATATATACACAAACTTGTATGGTATGAAAAAAAACATGTAAACACTAAACGGACAGAATAAATCGAGCGTTGTTACCGGGCATGTAGTTTTTATTGAGAGCTCCGAAAAACATCGTGTCGTGTGAGAAAAGACGTAATAATAACCATTACTATCAATTACCGCCTGGCATCGTCTCAGCATAGATTGTAGAAGTTTCTTGATATAAGATTCATCAATCTGTCTCCACTTTTGCTCTAAAGCGGCAAAAAGTTCATGCTTGTTTGAATGATTTTTATCTCATATTTGCTTATCTAAGTATTCCCATAGATTTTCAATGGGGTTTATATCGGGAGACTGTGAAGGCCATTTGAGAACTGGTATTTTTTCATCCAGAAAGAATTTCTTTGCGAGATTTGAAGTGTGCTTCGGGTCATTATCTTGCTGGAAGATTGATCTTAAGGGCATATTGTCTTCCATATAGGGTAACATGACATGCTTTAGTATGTCTGTGTATACAAACTTATCCAGAATGCCATCTATTTCACGAGAGAAGAGTTAGTTTTCGTAAAATTGTGCAACCAGGCTTATCTACAGGGGCTAAACCACCCAGTATCTCCAACAGAAAGGATTTCTGGGCTTTGCGCCCATTGGAAGATTGTACAGGAGAGCTAGAAAACGAAAATCAGCAGTAAATAAGATGGAAAATGACATACTGATTTTTTAGTCTGCATGTTGCTGTTTTTCGTTTGTTAGACTAAAATTATGTAGAACTTTGTTTTGGGATGGTTTTTGTAAAAGTATAATGAGTTTATAAAAAAATTATACATTTACGCTACTTCGTGACGACTCTTGTTTCTTTCATTGTGTAGTTACGCCAACAATTTAAAACTGGACATGGGTATCAAAGTCTCGAAAATACTGTTTCAAAAATAATTTTTTTTTTATTCTCTACATAATATTATAAGTACAAACAAAAAGTAAATCCTAGAGTAAATTTAACCTAAAATGCAAATTGCATTATGAAAATAACGTTAAACTTTAAATTATTTTTAAAAGTTGAACTGATTGCTTAGTCTTTATGGGACAGAGAATAATAAAAGTGTTGCAATACGGATAACTGGAGTTTCTCTTTTGCATAAAGATATAAGAGCCATATATTTTTTCTTCGATATCTTGCAAGTCCTTCAATCAAAGGTTTTAACGGCAAGTTACTTAGGCCGCCCTTGATTCGCTGTTTCAATACTAGCCATTCATAATGGTGGTCTTGATAGCTGTACTTAAAAAATAGGGTCATGGGTTCATCCTGTATTACCATTATTTCCATCATGTCTGTCCATTTTATTTTATATCGTAGTTCACTCTCTTTTACCGCTAACATCTGTAGTTCCTTAACATTCTGTTCATATCGACATTCACAACAAAACAACAATATTTATAGGTTATGTTTACATATTATTAGAGTCACATGCGCCGGTACATGCCGTATAATTATCGGTCAAATTCAGAAAACCAGTTTCAACGTAGAGGTTTAAATCTATGTAAGCCGGTACGTGAAAATTTTATAAGAAATTTATTTCCAAGCAGCTAATTGATATACAGTCACGTCACTTCGTGAGGTGACATACTACAAAAAAAATATGTCAAATTACGGCGTTACTCAATTTTAGTTATTTTTTCATTTACGCCTGACGTGCGGATCAGCACAACATGAATTATTACTATATGAATCTTTATCAAAATTGACCGGTTGGCAAATTCCATGTTTTGTGTCTGGTATTTTACAACATTTTTGCAACCACCCTCATTTATGTGCCCAAATTACAAGGCTAAATTTACCATATAAGGGTGGCCTTAATTGTGTAAGTAATTGCTAATAAATAATGCCAATGGTACTACAAATGTTATCACATTGACGATACGACCATGAATACTAGTATTCGCATAAATAGCTCTTTAGGGAATGAAGTTAGACTAACATACATTGGCGAGTATAAGCCAGTTGGCCTACAATTCGAATAAGTAAACTCAACCGAGACCCAGTTTTTTTGAAACGGTACCACACTGGCCGAACCACCTTGCCGATTATGTCAGAGCTGCTTACAAGTGATGACTTCGCAAATGAACGGCCTTGATGCGGACTTTTAGTCATTTATATTTACAGGGTTTGCTATGGAAATACCCAATTTGTTGTCGTACATGTGAAATTACTTATTTATGTTTCATTTTCTGTTTGTTGGTGCCCACATATTCAATGTCTGTGCTAGGAAATAATGGAACTAATATGGGGTGTGAGGCTGACTTGGCGATACTGTCCATGAAATCTTTTGCTGAGGTCGGTTAAAACATGCATGATTTTTTCAAGAAAACTGTCAAATACGTAACTGACATTTATATGTATATGTTTTCTTTATAACGCTCGCATAAAATGCACAAAGGATATTCTTGAATTTGTTTCAGCGAGCCATGTTCAAATGATCCATATTATTATTGCATTCGCGGAGGTACGGGGCCCTTCCTAGATGCCTTAACATGCCTTTTCAATAAAACTGTACACATTGCTGTGTTTTGATAAAGACTTGCGTCCCCCAAACGTATCTCACTCCCGCTCTTCATTTGTCACTAGGGCATTCGCTCCCCGAACCATGGGTCGCCAACTTCCCCGCTGATGAGGACCATCCACCTTCCTTAGCTCACCCTCACATAATTCCCGGAAAGAGAGGCAGTGGCGTAGAGTCCGTTTTGGTACTCGAGTATAATTGGTGAAGAAGTACTGTAAAACCGCAAAAAATTCGAGATAGAGATACCTCTGTTTTGGTAATCCTGGTTCCCTTGAAAACATGGAAAATACTTTTCGAATGTAAATGTTTACACATTTTTGGCACCATACTATAAACGAAAAATCTTTGAAGGTTTTGAAAATATGTCCGATTTTATGCGCGAAAAACAAAAAATTGTAGATCTCTGCAGATCTCTGAGCCTGCTGTTGCCGCTAGATGGCGACTTCTCAACTTAAGCTGATAACTGATCCCCCACCTCCTACAACTTCAATCCAAATTTTTTAACCTCTATGAATTTTTTTCTGAAAATAATTATTTATATCTATTATTTATTATAATGAGGAGGCTCTGGAACGTCAAAAAATTAGTTTTTGCGATTTTTGTTTTTTTCCTGCGGCAAGAATTAATGAAAACTCGACAAGCTATAGCAGGTTCAGGATTAGCGGACAGGCAGACAGACTTACAGACAGACGGAAATGAGAGTCATTTTCAAAATTTTGCGCGATTACAATACTTCCATGTCAGTGGCGTGGGAAGTAATGAGATTCTAATTGCAACTAATTGAGAAACTGGACACAATCTAACAAAGTAGGTGTATTTATAATAGGACTCTTTGGTTTAACTACTAAAGAGCCTTTCTAATTACCTCCACATGGTTCTTTGAATTAACTGTATCGAGCTAAGAAGACTCTGAAACGACACTAGCCAGCTTCATTCCTCGGTGTAATTTCTCATTAAACAATGTAACTCGATTATGTGATCATTGCAGTTGCCGTAACAGCTGGTAGATATAGAGAGAGCATACCAGCTCGTTTTATATCGCGTTTTCAGTTTCTACGAAGATGTTCTTGCCAATACGAATATCCAGTTAGGATCCTTGCGTGAGTCGTCTAGACATGCAAGTGAGTGCCTTCGTGCGCTTTATTTTTCCGGTTTTTAAATTTCGTGTGGGAGCCTCATTCCATATTCGAATCTCGGAATAAGTTGGTTTTAGGCCACTCAGTTACGGTGTCTGGCTTTAGATTATGTTGCGCATGGGCATATGCAAAAATTGTTTACAAGAATAACATTTGGTGGATATCATCACGACAGCAGAATTTATTTTGCCCTTTCTTGAGCTTTAGTACCACATTTTACGTTTCACGAAATAGAAATAACTTGAGATGCATGCGTATTGCCGTTGATACTAGATAGTTATGGAAAGGTCAAGAAAAACTTCATTCTGCTTGGGAATCACTCCATCAGAGACGCAAAAAATATCAGATACCTAAAATGACTGAGCCTATGCATTGGACTCCAGCCACAACTTTGAAAAAATCTGCTAGTTTTTAGTATGATCGCCTTTTTTGAAGTATGCTAAGGAAATATTTCAGGTCATATTTTAGTTAGTTTGAAATTTTCTGGATGCACACCCCAGAGACTCAATCGATTCTGATTTGACGTACTACATGGGAAGTTCCGAACCAACGTCCTTATTTGCAAATGAGTTTAATCATACCAAAGTCTGAATATTGAATCTGGTTATCAACTTTATTTTTATTACAGGTCAATGCGAAATACAGTGAAGATCTAGCTTCAGAATGTCTGCAGTGGATAAACACAATTACAAACGATAACCATCCTACTTCAGGTGATATGGACAATTTTTACGAAGTCTTGAAAGATGGAACAGTACTGTGCAAGTAAGTGCCCATGAAGTGTATATTGTGGACATATATTTATACATATATAAATTACTTATTGTCTGACCAGTAACAAGATAGGTCAGTCTTAAATATAATAGTTTCAACACTAACAGTGTCGCCAATGATGATAAGCTTGGTAGAACTGCTTCATTGCACGATTCTACCTACTTTGCCTAAATGGATATATTTGCGAAACCTGTTTTGGCCAAACTTCATGATTCTGCTATAGTTATGCTTCTATGTTGTTTTTTTCAAATTTGAGATGATGTTTACCGTGATTAGAAAACAGCAATTTTTGCAACTTTATTTTTCTTGTTTATTTTGGGGCAATGTCAACATGCAATAAAACTATATTGAAGGATTAGATATGCATAATGCACACCTAAGTAATTTGTTTAACAGCCAATTACACATGTAACAGGTAACTATACAATATGTAGTTCAAGTTGAATTACATTCATCTAAATAACTGGAACACTGTGAACATGCAAAGGTAGATCGCGAATTTTTGTTGTGCATACAACTGGTTGTTATGCATTAATAAGCATAAACTGTTATCATTTATTCCATAATTTAAGCAAACAAGTAGCGGGGGCTATGATGACATTGGTGACTGATTCACGACCTTTCAAATAGTTCTAGTTAGCATAATATTGCTAATGCCTCATAAATACATGATTAAGCGCTCTTTGAGACTTGCGTGTCACAAAGGATCTTAGGTGTAAGATCTAAACACGATTTTGTTAAGGAGGGAGAAATTTTCTACTATCTACATGTCGGAGGTAGATATTTTCGTCGGCTTCAAATTTTTGGAACTTATTTTTGATTTCCACTGTTTCAAAATCTGTAAGATTGTTTCCGGTTTATATATTTTAATGCTTTTTTCTTTAGCCGATTAGCATGAAAGAAAAAATGAAGATGATTATCAAATTCTGGTTTTCATGTGGTTAATGCATGTAATCAATAACTATTAAAAAGTCAGTTCATTTTAGTCTAAATTTTGATCATACTAATGAGCAATGTTTTGGTTCTTTTGAAAGCGCCCTTTTAGTCCTCCCAGGATCAATCAAAAGACGATGGTGCTTATAAGAAGACATATTCTGATTATACCTATGTACATGTGATATTAATTTATTGTCTCATTAAAATGTCGAAGAAAAAATGTGCATTGCCAAATATTGTGTCTTACACACTAATCCAAAACGAATGACATATACTTTACGCTACTTCCACGCGTGCAGATCCGGGGGTTTAGACTAGTATTATCATATTTAGGGTTTTTGAATATTTGCTGACTTTGCTGCAGGAGTACTACTCTCTTTCATTTGGTATCCAAGCAGACCTACATATTATGGCTCTTTCCTCTACAAAGAACCTTACGTAATAACAGAACAACAACATTTAGAAATTAAAAAAAAAGTCATCTATGGAATCTGACCCACAACTGTTTGCATTCTAGGCAGAAGTTTGAACAATATCAGCTACAACCACAGGTTTGCTACTGGAGTATTTCTATTTTTTTTTTGTTTGACTCTAAAAGGTCTGAGTCTGCGCCTGGAAGCATCAACAATGTAGACCATTATTCAAATGGAATATGATACGTCAATAAATAATAACGATCGTGCAAAGATCAAGCATCCTAAAGTGATATAATGTTTGATGTTTGTTATCATTTGAGGAGCTGTTGCGCTACTGATCGCATGTCGCGTATCGGTGAATCACCATTATTCGTTTCCTTTTTTGACCATGCACCATTTCGTTCGAGAATGGAATAGACGGTGATGTCATCGCAAACTCGCGATTAGTTCACCAATGCCAAACCTGCAAACAGACACCATCTGGCGTTCGTTGTGGTTTGGCTGCAAACAACCGACTAGTCTGGCCGTTAATTTCGTTAATTCTTTTCTGTACATCGATCATTTTAATTCAATACAGTCTTGAGTCATGTTTAGGCATCTCTGGTCAAGGTCAATCTTTTTTTACGTTCTCAACATCAATGGGAACACCAGCGTACAGATGCTGCTGTCAAGGAGCAGCTTTATATCAAACAAAACTAATTCACATCATCTTTTGAAACTCGAGCTTTTTTTGTAGCATTACATTATAGTATCTTTTTCCTGAAAGGCTTCCCTAGAATATGTTATATCATTGATTAACGTAAATTCCACCTGAAGATAGCCATATGCTGGCTTTCGGCGCCCAAAAAGGGATCTGAAAGATCGTAGCACCATCTATGACACAACACAAAAATGAAATTTGGTAGAGCTTGAGAGGAAAGAATAGGATGGAATTACTATTTGTAGACTTCTGTGATGTAATAATACGAGTATAGGGTACAACCACCCAGTGAGCTAATGAAGTTGCATTGATCCATTTCAATAAAACCGAGCTATCTTCTCAGGTGTGGACAAGGTCATGGGGTTCTTCACTGTTAACAATTTCTTGGAAACCTGTAGACTGCTCCCCTTTTTTGTGGACCCCTATTAGAGTGTACCTGGGCGTGTACCTCAGGAGTGTTACTCACCTAGAGTAATTTAGATACCATAAAAGTAGGATCGTTAATTTTGTTTCGTGAAGGGGAACCTAGGTAATTCATCCAACTAATTTAAGCAAGAGGTGTCCATTTACGACTTGAAGGCGTGTTGTATGCTGGGTGTGAAAAGGGGAGCAACCTCTCCCGACGAATATACATATAAAACGTGGTATCTGGCTAACCGGCTTGTCAGTAAATCTGCTTCTATCCATTTCGATTTACTGTCCTTTTCAAAGATTCAAGTGGCAGTGATTATTTTTTATAGTAGCAACGGTATTCGGGGTATAAATAAATTTTAATTGAAAAATTCATTGTAGCACATTTCGTTTAGGTCGCACCATTTCTCAAGACTAGCTGATCAACTACTTAATTTAGCCAGTGGAAGCATTTGATTCATCGTAACATATATGTGAAACACTTGTACCATCCATTTGTAGAAGAAAATCGAAGGTTTATTTCCGATACAATTATGTCATCAACAGTACCCCATTTATAATATGGGTCACTCTTTATGATACACAACGGGACATTAAACTTCCTGTCATCAGGAAATGAGTTTCCTCCCTTTTACGTTAACAGGAAACTATGTCGCTTCCCCTTTCAACCATATTTCTAAGAACGTGAGACCCATTTATCAGCACACTTGAATGTGATAGAAGTTCCTATAAAAATTAGGATCAAGTAGATTGACTCCGTACTTGTCACGAATTAACGTAAAATTGCAGTCTTATAGAATTATTTCTGTACAACTGGTGAAGCAAGCAACTTGTGAAACACGTTCCTGTGAGATTTTATGAGGTAGCGTGTTACCAAAAAATCATCAGAAAAAATGGCGTTAAGTAGATTGACTTTGCACTTTCTTTGCAACGTTGTCATCAGTTCATAAAGGATTGAGTTCAGCACAAGTTGAACCTCTGAGAAAAACATTCGTCGCGAATATGTACAACAGAGAACTGCAATTAGTCCGAAGATCCCTTCCCTAGCAGTATTTACCCTCCATCTGGCATGAATGAGCAGAATAGTCAACCAGACCGGTACGCCGGGTGATGAGTCCAGACAGCAGAAGGAGGACTTCATCGAAAACACTTATTTATCGTTCTAAGCTTTATAGACAATTGTGTGCAGTATTGCTAATAGGTGCATGAAATTACCGGGGTTGGGAGCTGATAAATATACCTTGAGATTTACCCTCACCCTTACAATCCGTAATTTTTAACCTCTACAAACATTCTTCTGAAAATGATCAAGAGCCTCTAAAACATCAAAAACGAAGATTGATCGATTTTTGTCTTTTTCCTATTTTAACCCCTGGCTCTGAACAGATCTAAAAAAAACTACAAAGTTTTTTCGCGCTTGGAGTAGTAGTGATCTTGTATGGACATTTCATCTAAATCAGAGCGATAGTTCTTAAGTTATAGACTGGCCAAGGATTAGTGGACAGATGTACATGTATAATATTCAAAATGATCTCATTTTTTGAAATTACCCATCCGTAATATTATATTTTTTTTGTGACTCACCATGTTTCTATGGTACTTCTGCAAAAGCTGCCATCAATCACGATTTTTTTGTTCCAGACTAGTCAACACAATCAAGCCCGGCATCGTGAAGAAAGTAAACACGTCGACGATGGCATTCAAATGTATGGAAAACATCAACGCCTTCTTGGAAGCGGTACGAGAACTTGGTGTGCCCGCCCAAGAAACCTTCCAAACAGTTGATCTGTGGGAAAGGCAGAACCTTAACTCAGTCGTCATCTGCTTACAGTCTTTGGGCAGGAAGGTAAGAAAATAAAAAACGGTTAAGCTATACATTAGTTGAAAATTTTGTGAAAAAACTTCTAATGTCATTGAAGATGCAGACTACGGAGCAATGAGTATTCCAATTTTCTTCACATAAACTTTTGCGCTTTAAGAGACCTATATGAACTAAGAGTCAAAATTATTTTTTTTTGCCTCTATCCCAAAAACCACTGGGTTTATACACTCTTATGCATTAGAATTTAAAACGAGTCAAATACATTCGTCTGGACGTTAGTCCAAACGTGTCTGGTACGTCTTTGAGCATCATAGTCTGAAATTTTGAGAACGGGTCACATACGATGTACTTTTTAACCATTCCGTATATTCCAATAAACTTGTACCATTTTCTAGGCTGACAAATACGGCTTCCAAGGCATCGGTCCCAAAGAAGCCGAGAAGAACGAAAGAACCTTCTCTGAGGAGAAACTCCGAGCGGGACAAACCATCATTGGCCTTCAAATGGGCAGCAACAAGGGTGCCAACCAATCAGGGATCAACTTTGGCAACACCAGACATATGTAGACTACAACGACCAACGGACTTCATTGTAGGATATAGAGAGCTCGTCAATTTTTTATTCAGTAATAGCTGCGCGTATATATTTTTTAAGTTTATTTATGTAGATTATACATATATATTGAACTTGGTGAGTTTTGTTATGAATGATGCTGGGCACAAACTTGGCATTATCATACATACAGGATAGGAATTATGGAAAAAATCTTCAAGCCAGGAACTATATAGTAGAACGTTAAGATGATTGATTTTCATTTGGCTCTTCCTAAAAAGTTGTACCAATAGTAGTGTCTTCCAAACCAGGAAAAATTATAGCATTGAGCCACTTAGATCCTGGAATTTCGCGCTCAAAATATATTTCGGAATAGAAGTGAAAAACCGTTGTTGTCACCCTGCCATTTTGTAAGGAAACTCTCCTGTAAGTAGGATAATGTAACTTCTACAATTTTTCTCGTACTTGTTAGACAAAGTATTTTTTTAATGTTGAACATTCCTGTTGATTTAAATAAAATATGATGCAAAATAAGGACTGAAGGGGTTATCCTTCTCGTCTGACTCTTATACCGTTTAATCTTTGCGACCCTAAATTATGTATATAACTACTTTGGAAATGCATGTTTTCAGTGGGAAAATTTCTTTTGGAGTCAGAATTTAATTTAAACTATAGCTTTTTGTGAACCGAACAAATAGATTCATTGAGGAGAAATGCTACTTCTCAAGAATATGCCAGTTCCACCGTCTCTTCATTTCAAACAGAAATTCATTTATTTCGTTTCTGAATGTTTTTGTTTCTTATTGAAAGAACTTTTCATTAGGAAGCTTTCCCACTGTTTTTTATTTATTATATCACTTCTAAAGCCATATTACACTAAATGATAAAGAGTTAGTTTACTTGTATTCAACTTTTTTCTCAAACCACAACGAGTTTATTTAAATGAATTTATATTATTAGTTGATAGAGATCAACTTTCAAAAAATGGTCGTAGATTCAGATACTTAAGATATGTAAGTAATATATATTTAGTAATATATCGTGTTTTACTCGTTGGTTAATATCATGAAAAAAAGATAGGAGATTTTTACTTGATCTCCACATTTTTCGATATATTCAAAAATTGAAGTCAGTACTAATAAGGTTAAATTAAATCACAAGGAAAAAATCAGAAATGTTGGGGTGACAAAGGGCTAATAAAATCTGCAAACGAAAAAGAAAGACTATAAAATCATGAAATATTTACCCACAACAGAAAATATAGATCACTATAACCAGTATAAAAATAAATCTATAGAGCTTTTGAGAAACGCGAAAAATTACTATTTAAAACAATTGAATAATAATTCACCTATGGCCCATTGTCAATCAATAAGTCATCCTAATCAAAAAACAATATTAATGAAATAAAAACAAAAACAGGACACAAAACAGACAATATTCAGCAAATATGTGACGAGTTGATAGAATTTTTCACGAATATAGGAGAAAACTTTGCAAATAATATCAAACAAAATGCTGATATTCATCTGCGTGAAACAAGACTGAATAATCCATTTGTATTAACTGAAGTAGACTATCAGGATGTTTTCAATGCCATTATGACTCTAAAAAAAAAAAAGCACTGGACTTGACGAAATTAGAGCTGAACATCTAATGATACTGGCCAAACAAATAACAAAACCACTTGCTTATACCATTAACAAATCCTTTCAATCTGGAGTATTTCCATCAGCTTTCAAGACAGCAATCATCATACCTATCTATAAAAAAATACGGATGTCACTAACTATCGGCCTATTTCACTTACCTATATCAAAAATAGCTAAAGTTTTTGAGAAATTACTCCTTAATACAATGATTAATTTTCTTAATAAATCCAAAATTTTAAATTCAAATCAATGTGGTTTTATAGCGGGCAAATCTACAACAGTATTAAGTATAGAGTAGATCAAATTACCCAAAATATGGATGGAAAAGTACCATCGATATGCGTATTTGTGGATTTACAAAAAGCGTTTGACACAGTTAACCACAATATACTTTTGGAAATATTGGGAAGAATAAGTTTTCGTGGAAAGATGTATACTTTAATGGAAAATTATTTATCAAATATTTACCGCAATCAGTAAAATTACTAAACTCATATAGTAAAGAAATGTTTGTTAAATGTGCCACAAGGTACAATTTTGGGTCCTCTGTTATTCAATATTAAACGATATATTCAAAATTAATACTACTGGTAAAATAGTCAGTTTTGCGGCCGACAGTGCTATACTAAGGATTGGAACGATTTAAAAGATGTTGTACAAAATTATTTAGTGGTTTAATAACCGAAAATTAACAATTAACTTTACTAAAACTCATTTTTTACCATTTTCATCATTATCTAATCATCTACCAAAATATAACCACCTTCGCTTTAAGGTAAATGACAAAAATCTAAAAGTCAATAGAGTTAATGATACAGAATATTTAGGAATTTATCTAGCTCGCCACTTGAGATGGGATGTACATATTTCTTACATACTAAAGAAAATTAGATTCATAGAATATAAAATAAAAGTTGTAACCGGTATATTAACTGAATATCATCTACGAATAATACCTATATCAAGCTTTAGTCGAGCCGCGCATAACTTATGGTATAGTAGTATGGGGTGCTGCATGCACGACATACCTTAACGATTTAGAAGTGCTTCAAAGAACAATTTTAAAATCAATGTTTGGCAAATCAAAATTATACCCAACTAATGACTTATATAATGATGCACAAGTATATGATACTAAACAACGTTACTTCTTACATACCATCACTCATTATCATAAAATTATTAGTGAACGCGACATAATTAAACATAGACATAACGCCAGATATAAATTACGCGCAAAAAATGTTCCTAAACCAAACAAATCTTTAATGAAACGATGTCACCTATATTTAGCTCCAAAATTGTACGAACATTTACCAAATAATTTAAAACAATTACGCAATACATTAGGTTTCAAAAAAAAAAAAAATAAAAAATTTCTTAACTCGATTGAGAGAAATCACATTAATAGAATAATCTCACATTTTACAAAATAAATGCTATCATTCTTACCAATATTTTTTTCTCTCTATTCTTTTTTTATCTTTTGCAATTCAACATACATATGATCCATGCACAGGCATTGTCCTCCTATGGATATATTATATTTATTTACTCGTTTCATGTTTCCTGTATTTTAGAGTAAATGAATAAATATATATAGTTATTATTAAGATGAGGCAGACCTTTAGGATTCTGAGGTGTCTGTTAGTAGCCGAGTTAGGGCGACACGACGGTGCAAAGTACAAACATTTGGGATCAGACGCCGAATTCGTATAGTATAGTGCATGACTCATTTGTCTACTAATAATAATACCTTCATAAGGGTTGTGCCGCTCTTTGCAAACATGTAATAAGTAGCCTGTCTTGAAAGCGTTTAATACCACAATTATCTGCAAACATCTGTTCTTTTAAAAAATAACACTAAATTTAATGACAGAACTGTCAAAAATTACATGTCAAGTGCACTTTGATTCTCACTGCAGACTATGAGAATTAGGAGACAAGTCCTTAAATAGCTCCTTTTACCTAGTTTAAATTCGTTGGTTTCAGACCAGTGAAGCGTTTCTTCATCATCTAACCTGCCAAGGGTTTTTTGTGTACGTACTGCGGAGATTCCATCACAGTACATTCTTATAGGTAAATGAAATTAACAATAAAGAACATGAGTCTTGTCCATTTTTTGCTGAAATTGCGAATTTTGTTCCTTGCATCCCTGTAACGCACTTGCAAATGAAATAGATGATAATCAGCCTTGGCGAGAGCGGTGCGGTTGGAGGGACATTATGTCGAGGGTCAAGCATATGAGCGAGGGGCCAACATGAGCGGTAAAATGAAAGGTGTTCAGTCTCGCATATCCAGCATTCCACATTTAGCCTTTTTTGGCCACTGTCCAAGCCACCGACTAAACTTAGCTATCAGTACAGCCTGCACCGTACTCAGCATAAGAAATGCCGTAAGGGGTTATCTCTAGTGTAGCAACTTTCTTTCGTGCCTCGTGACAAAATATATTTAAAAAAATTGTTAGACCAGATGGGTGGAAAGACAATAAGCGATTTTGACATTTTTGGAAGTCTTGCCATGTCTTCCTGAAATCTTTCAAAAAATAGCTGATCAAGATCAGGAAACAGAAGTGCTACACCTCCATTTTCCTTTCTCCAATTTCTAATGTCGTCAGAATTTCTCATAAGCTTCGTAATCTTCTCTGATCACGCTGCTCTTATCCTGATCATTACAAGCCATTGAAATTGATATACTTTCTGTAGTTCAGCTTATTAATACGACCACAGCAAGTCTGCAGAGGCAACGTGAAACTAGCATTTATTACATTAAAAAACTATTCAGTCAGGCTGAGGCCATCGTAAATGAAATTGGTGCAGAAATAACGGTCCGCAGAATCACCCGCCGTCAAACAAATTGGCCGAACATTCAGACTCGGTTGCAGAATAGAACAATTTTCCCCCTGAAGGGAAGAAAATTGATATTTCGGGTCTTGCCATAGGCCTGACCGTTGAGATTACGTTCCCTATCTACAGCTCCGGAGTCAGTATGTGTGCGTCTCTAGTCCCCCTTACCTTCGTCCTCCTCCCCTTTCTGTACGCCCATGCTCCTTGGAGCGATGCGCGCGCTGGCTAGTGGCGAGCGATTCCCCGCTCGCCCTTCAGTACTCTTGCGCCGGCAAGGCGTTACCTAGGTCAGGCCTATGGCAAGACCCGAAATATCAATTTTCTTCCCTTCAGGGGGAAAATTGTTCTATTTCGGCTCTGTGCCTACGGCCTGACCGTTGAGAAGTGTTTACAATCTGCCGGCGCGCCACGGTGTTAGAAAGCGTACTGTGACATGGTTATAGTATGATAACTCTAACAGTTCATAAAAAGAAAAGTAACAGTCATTCTTGGCTCACAGCCATGATAATACTTATATAGGGACAAATTTATCCGAAATAAGTCTTCTGTTGCTGTTGTCAGGTACCAAATCCTTATCGATATTTTTATAGTAGTGTTTGAAGAAATTGCTTGATCCCTGCCAATTTCCTTTCTGCAAAACCTCATCCAATGGCATGTTATCATTGAAGCGGGATGTTGCCACTGCCGAGCGGGTACTGCCGGCTCCTCCTTCTATACCTGCCGATTTCAACGCTGTGCGGACCCATCCTGCTATCACTGACCGAGATGCCGGTCCTATCTTCCCACGAGTTGTGACGAATAGTTGAGGAATCGGTCGACAGTGGAGGTTCCTTCTCTTTTCTGATATTTCTAGATATATGGTTGTCCAGTGTACTAGATCCCAGATGCATTCTTGATTTTTGAGGAGTTTCCAGCCTGACTGGACGTAGTTATGCTTGTCTGTCTTAGATCCATGTTGTGGCCAGAAAATTATGTATTCTTCGGTTTGTTCAAAGAAACCAGAATCTATTCGAAGGAGTGTCAAGTCATGGACTCTCCTTCCCGATGATAGCAGCAAAAGCAGCGATAGATGCCGGGCCACTTGAAAGATACTATTCGTATCTGGATGGTTATCATTAATCCAAGATAGAAGTTTATCGATGTTCCAAATCTTTGGCCTAGTTGCTGGAGGATTTGCATTTGCAATACCTCTAATTACCTGTTTCACTGTTGGGCTACTGGAAACTCCTTCACTATGTAGTGGATTGGAGAATGTCGCAATGGTGGATTTATGTAATAGGATCGTTCTAAGCGCCAATTTTCTTGTGTTGTGTAGGAAGCAGAGGTATTGAGCCACCTGCGTGGGGTTTGGATTTTTAACTGAAACTCTTCTTTTCTTCGCCCACGATTGCCAACTTTTCCATGCAACGGCATACGTTTTGAGAGTTGACTTGCGCCAGGATATTTCTAAGATTCTCCTTTCATCCTTTGACCAGTGATTCGCTATATCGGACCACCCCGTATCTTCCATGCCTCCAGGTGTAAATCCATTACCTTTGGAGGAGGCTGGTTGGTTTGAAGATCTTCCAGGTGAGCCTTCAGATTCCGAATGGTGAACGGGTGGTCGATGGCACGTCTCTTCAGCAGGGGCCGCCAGAACACCCTTTCCCACCTGGGGACTATCATTATGAAAACTCCCTGACAATAGTTGAGGTGTTGGAGAACTCTTGGTATTAGGGGTGGAGGAGGGAATATCCACGCTAGCTTGTACTCCCACGTTCTTGTAAATGCGTTGACGAATTCTGCCTCCTTGCATGGGAATTGCGTTACAAATCTTGTAACGACGGCTGATTCTGGAGTCGCAAATAGGTCGATGCAAGGGGTTCCCCACTTTTCGAAGATCCTCTTCTGAGCTATCCTTGATAAGTGCCAGTCTGGCAGATCCTTTCCTCTGGATAGGTGGTCGGTCACAATATTGTAGTTTCCTGGAATATGTTCTATTCTCAGAGACATACTGTATTGATGTGCCAGCTCCAGGATCTTCCTGGTCAATGCCAAAAGCGTGACCGACTTGGTTCCTCCTTGATTTCTCAAGTAGGAAACCACCGTCCTGTTGTCCGTCTGAATTAACAGTGTTTTGTTTGCCAATCGATCTAGGTGGTTTCTTAGCGCTAAGTAGATCACGAACATTTCTTTTTTTGTTGATATGCCACTTTTCCTGCTGCTCTGTCCAGTTTCCTTTCCTCAAAGTGTCTCCTACTTGGGCTCCCCAGCCCGTGTTTGAGGCATCGGTTATTATATGAACTTCCGGTTCTTTCATGCAGATTATGGATGACCCTTTTAAGTTTTTCTCCCACCATCTTAGCTCTCGCAATACGTCCAGGTCTATATTGAACAGTTTCTTTGGTTGGTTTTCTGACATCCGATTGACTGCTCTTTGTATCTTTCTGCAATGTAGTCGACCCAATGGGATAACAAACGAGGCAAATTCCATTCTCCCTAGCAGTGCCTTTACCTGCTTCCAGCTCCAAGTCTTGCTCTTGATTCCAGCTTGGATTGATGTTTGCAGACGGTGGATTTTGTCCTCCGGTAAACTCTTTTGATTTCTTATGGTGTTCCACATAATACCTAGATATGCCAATTTCTGTGTAGGTCTTATTTCGGACTTCTCCAGGTTGATGCAGAAACCCAGCTTTATGAGAGTATCTATCAGGGTGGATACCTCTCGCTTTAGTTCTTCTGGATTCTGGTTTGCGCAAAAAATCGTCCAAATAGACCATTACTCGAATGTTTTGTTTCCTCAAGTAGCTCGCCACCCAGTTCGTAACTTTTGCAAACACCTGTGGAGCGGAGCTTAGGCCAAATGGTAGTGCTGTCATAGCGTAGATGTTTTGCCGGTAATAAAGTCCCAGATAACGCCAATGCTTTTGCTTTATTGGCAAATGGAAATATGCTTGAGAAAGGTCGACTTTTACCATATAATCTCTTTCCTGGAGAAATAATGGCAGTTTGCGATGGTTCATAAGGCGGAACTTCTTGGGCGTGATGAAGCTGTTCAATCTTTTTAGATTGAACACTGGTCTCCACAAGCCCCCCGATTTCGGCGTCAAAAACATCTTTGATAAGAAACCTGTTTTTGTTTGCAGTTTTACTACCACCTTTTGATTTATGAGGTTTTGTATTTCTCGATCCATTTGTGTGGATGCTGGTGTCTCGAATTTGTTTAGTATCGGTTGGGATAGTACTGTTATTGGTGGCTTTATTGAGAAAGGGATCACGTAGCCTTTCAGGATACTGAGAATCGATTGTGAGGCTCCCATACTTTTCCAAGCAGAGACATATTTGGCGAGTTGTCCTGCCTGAAAACTGTCAAAAACTCCGCCTTTTATCTAAAGGTGGTTGCTCCTTACGAGCTAGCTTGGTATGACTTTTCGCCCCCGGCTTACGCGAATGCTTAAACTCTGCCTTCTTCATTTTTTTTAAATGAACCTTGACGCAGATACTTTTCATGAGAAGTTCCTTGAGGCACCTTCTGTCTCAGTGCGACTTTTCCCAAATTACTCTGCCAGCGGACAGGAGCAATTTTCGTCACTCCATGCATTTTAACCACATCTTTCAGCTGCTCTTCATCCCACAAGTGCGTACCTGACGGAGGAATCTCATTGACGATGGACCTATAGTAACTACTTTTAGGCTCGTATAGTTTCCTGCGACTTTCGATGATTTCCGCCCTTTTTCCGCAAACGAACTGCAGCAGGTCGTCCGAGATGGTCTTGTATTCACTGTTAGCAGCAAAAACTTTTTTCAAAGTGTCTGCCGCTTCCGGGTGTTTGTTCCCCGCCTCCTTCAGAGCCTCATGTATGATTCTCCGTTGCTTCAGTAGACCGTGTGAGATAGTCCCGAAGGCCAGGTCACTTTTGGATAACATATCTGTCATTGGGCTTGCATGTCCATTGTTGTACAAGGATGAGTTAACCTTCAGAGTACTGAAGACTGGTGATGCGTGGAGTTTTTTCTGAGCGTCCACGTAACGAATCTTGTTCCATGTCTCTTCCCCGAAACGCTGGCATTTCATGCCCTGTGTCTCGATTACTGGGTCCGCCCTAGGGACTGTAGGCTCGATTTCCCTAGTGACAGGGGAAAACGTGTCCCAGTCGTTTACGCTGCCACATGTGCCAATACTGTCGGCGTCATACACCTGTAGGAGTTGGAGCTTGCCACGTCGAATTCATGACGCTGCCATCGTTCTCTTTATTTCCTGAGACCAAGTGGTAAAGATTCTCGACCATGCTTTCCACGCGGCGTAGCCTTGTCTCATTGACATCCTCCTCCGAGCTCGAAGACAATACTCGCCGCCTCCTCTTCATTGGTTTCTCGGTTCTGACCGGGTACTCGTCGTCTGAGCTGGACGATTGACACCGTCTCCTTTTACTTCGGGACGTATAATTAGCCTCCCCGTCCGTTGAAAGGGCCTCCGACGTCAGCTCTCTGGAACGCATAGTATGTTTAAGTGGTTCCACCGCCTTATTAAAGAGCTCCGCTTGAGCCATAGATCCTCGTAACTGACACGCTACCTGCCGTGGGCTCATGATCAATGCTCTACAGAGGTTCCAGTCGAGAAGCCTCAATTTTATATTTCGGTAGGTTTTCTCTCCCACCGATGTTGCTTCTGGGTAGAATGCTTTCACCAGTTCCAATGTGGGGAGGGCGAAGCGAATTTTGTTCAATACTTTGTGGTCTATCTTTTTCCCAAATAGATCTTCTTTCTTCCAGTCAATCACCTTCCAGTCTCTCCAGCCGTCTGTTTGCCAATCGATCTTCTTCTTCCTCCATTTCAACGTGGCTGGACCAGAGTTCACCCAGAGTAACAAAATTGGTTGCCATCGCCATCTGGAAGCAGATGTGCTATAATTAGTTAGTCGGTCGGGCCAAAAATGCAGCCGGTCGGGCCGAAATCTGCAGCCGTTCGGGCCAAATTCTGCAGCCGGTCGGGACAAAATTTGCAGCCGGTCGGACCGAACGTAGCGGCCGGTCGGGCCAAAATTCGCAGCCGGTCGGGCCGAATTTAGCGGCCGGTCGGGCCGAAGTCTGCAGCCGGTCGGGCCGAAGTCTGCAGCCGGTCGGGCCGAAGTCTGCAGCTGGTCGGGCCGGTCGGGCCGAAACATTGTGTAGATGGATCCGGCTGCAGGACTCCCTTCAATTTTCCTATGAATGGGCATTGTGCGCTTGCACACAAGTGCCCATATTATGCTCTAGCGAATTTGCCCAAGATGCATTAGAAGGGAGTCTCACGTCTGGACCGAGTGATCCGAGACCGTGACAATTTTATATCAAATGGTAGCCATCTACACTAAATTGTCAACCTAAGGTTTTTGTCTCTTACCTTTGCATTTATACTATTATTCTCTCGAACGTTACACAACGTTTAACTCGCGATGTTACACATACGCACACGCACACACCCTATCCGTGCGATAGATAAAAGCGTACTGAAGGGCGAGCGGGGAATCGCTCGCCACTAGCCAGCGCGCGCATCGCTCCAAGGAGCATGGGCGTACAGAAAGGGGAGGAGGACGAAGGTAAGGGGGACTAGAGACGCACACATACTGACTCCGGAGCTGTAGATAGGGAACGTAATCTCAACGGTCAGGCCGTAGGCACAGAGCCGAAATATTACCGACTTCCAGTATATATTTTTTTTCTAGATTACATGTCAAGTGAAATGTCATCCAGGTTCCCTAGCACTCCCATGCAAAGAATCGGGCAGTTGCAAAAGTTGCTGCCCCTAACTTCAGCCACGAAGATATAGAGGAAGATTTCCAAGGCGCTGAAGTATATAAAGAAGACCTTCCTTGTTTGTAAAAACAACGTTTTATGTTAGTAACGTGGAAAGTGACAGGTAACAGCTGGTATAAAATAAAACGTCTGTATCGCCAGCAGCTCGCGCCATTGCCAGCTTGTCCCTGACGGTGGAAATTTTTGTACAAAAATATGACTATAACCTTCATTGGGTGTCAGTTATATGTGTACAAATTTTGCGTACCTACCTTTGTAGGTATTGTAGTTCGGACGTGATGCTGACAGATAGGACAGACATTCGCATTTGTATATAGAGATTTAATGCATTCCAGAGAGCAAATCGAAATGCTGTCTTTTTCTTTTCTTTCATCAATGATGCCCCCATGGAATGGGAATGAGATATTTCTCAACTTTATTCTTTCCCCAGTTCCGAGCTAGCAGCCGTCGCGAGTATACACTTGTGCGACTGCGACCCACCCGGACTTACAGTGCGATCCTATTGTGATTTTCATCACGATACGATCGCCATCCACGATGGCGAGAATAGAAAAACTGGCGAGCCAGCTGAAGCAGAAGGAGGATAACTTCGCAATGCTTGCTGAGCAGATGAAAAATCTGCCTAACAACATTGTTGTGTCGTAACTACCGAGCTTTCGTATAATTTGTGTGGTAATGTTATTCTTTCGACTGGAGAAGACTAAAGTTAATTCTGCCGGCTACAAATGTATGTGTATCACATTCGCTATCATTTCTTTTTCACCTCAGTACTCAGCCATTCTTTATACGTCAAGAAAGAACCTATGCGTTTATTTCTTTACTCCTTTGAGTATCAAGGATATACAATTACACAGGAAATTAAACCTTTTTTCCCATTCCAATGGTCATAACCTTTTTAGATAACTATGTATCTGAAATTAAGATTTGGCTTATTTTTTTCTAGCACATCCGGATTTAATTTTATTGAGGTTTACAGTTTTTTCAAAATATATTAATTTTCAAATGAATAATAAAATGTTTACTTAAAAGCCAATAGCAGCCGTTGAAAATTATTCTTAAGAACGTAACTAAATCGAAAAGACTTATGATATCTTGTTCTACTTACATACAGGTTTTGAAAATATTTTCATTAAGATATAAATCACGCTTTTGGCGGTTACTCGTGGTCTCCGCGGACTATTATATGATTTAGTTTTGCAATTAAAGAGAAATGTGTAAAGTTATATGCGTATTTGATCAATCGTGTATTTGACATGGTTGTCAGTTATCTAGAGCCTCCCCTTAAGGACTGAAGAGCGCCCGCGAAAACTGTGATTTATAACTTCAAGAAAATAGAAGTTATTGTTAAAACCTATATTGTCTCATAACTATTTAGCTTGTAGGGTCCTACGGGTATTATTGCACGATATAGTTTAGTAACAAAAGGTCAAATATTTTGTGACTTGTCTTTCGGGTTTGGGAGTAACACTCATCCCAATCTTGGAGGAGTAATTTAAAATTTCCCTCGCCACTGTTTGCGTTAAAGACGATGTTAATGGTTGAAATGCGTTACAGTTTGCTTTCATCTATATAACTGGACACTTCTCCACCAAAAAAGTATTTTTAACTACGTTTAATACCATTTTTAATCTCTGTTTTATCTTTTGCGAATTAAAAATGGAAATTGACATCCAAAAAGCGTCCATCCTCCACACCACAGTTATTACCTTGGAGATCGTTACCAATTTGGAGTCGCTGGAATTGAAAGCGTAAACGTGAGTATCCATACTGCGGTAGCGGCAATAATCGGATCCGGGCAATATTGTTTCTTTAAAGCAGTTGAATCAAATAAAATCCCGTTTTAGGAATCGAAATCGAAACCATACAAATCTATTCCAAAAATCGTATTTGTCTGTATGTGTATAAAATCAGTGATATTTGCTATGTGAGAGAATTATTACTGGATATGCTGCTATTGAAGTATATCTATTAGCTGTGCCCGACGGGTCATTTATATGTTGTCCTTTCTGAAGAAAGGTTAGGTTCAAAGTTATAAATTATGATTTTTCCCGTTTTTTGTGTTTTCAAAAACCTTGAGGAGCATTACGGGAAATCGTCACCGCGCCCGCTTTGTGTGCAATTAAGCCACATCGCAGAAAAATTACGCATCATATTTCAAACATTTTCGCAGTGCCTCACATCTAGGCGCTGATTTGTATTTTCTATTGATATCGCCAAATAAATGTCTGTCAAATTTAAATGACTGGAAATATATAATAATAATAACCTTTTCACTTTCATAAATGTTCCTGTCTGTAGCATATTTTCTCACCTGTTACTTCACCAACCACGGATTTTCTTTTATTATCTCTCTCATTTTTTATATCCAGCAAATTCGCGTATGTAATTTCCAGAATGAATGAGAAAATGTGGATGCGCAACAAATTTCTAGCTTTGAATCTCAAGTGTATTTGAGACATGAAACCAATAGAATTATGATCAACACATATTATTAGCACACAAATCCTCACGACGCACCTATGCATAGCCATATCCTTCCAGCTTTAGTATACAACAGCTTAGAGTTCCAATAATGCCATCTCTGAAGCAGATGTTAATCACGTCAGAGCCAAACATTGATAACTGAAGCATCATTACGTTAAGGAAACACGTACAACTACAAAACGAGTTTACAACAAGTGTCTATCAGCTAGTGCTAAGTTGACATCTTGTAGAAAACCAGCATTATGTCAAAAAAATTACGTTATGTCAAAAAAAATGACCTAATGTCACTTTTCAATATACGTAATAAACGGGTTGCTTAAACGTCCTCGAACAGCGATCATAACGAGCAAACGTGGAATGAACTACTAAAATCTACCTAGGTTGCAGGATGGCATTTCGTCGGTTTTCTTGACGTTTTTTAGGTTCTCTACATAACACCCCTGCCGGATGATACATTTAATTTGACAATAGGGCAGTAGCTGTCACCTTGAGAATTTTTCGTCAAATCACCATGTGATTCCTGACGTCCAATTCGGTTTTCGGTCCGAGCATAGCACCGAGCTACAGGCAGTCAGGCTGGTGGAGCATGCAACCAGAGAGTTCACCCTCAGCATGAGTACTGGCATCTTGCTTTTGGATGTCTCAAAAGCCTTTGACAAGGTGTGGCACGCGGGCCTCCTCTATAAACTAATCCAAAAGGGTTTTCCTTTTTGGCTTCTAAAATTACTGAAATCCTTTCTTGAAGCAAGGAAGTTTCGGACCAAATTAACAATGTTTTGTCAACAACACGGCCAGTACGGGCCGGTGTTCCTCAGGGTTCGGTCCTAGGACCAATTCTTTATTCGCTTTTCATCCATGATGTCCCTTCCCCCAGCAACTGTGAAGTCTACCTCTATGCTGACAACACCGCACTTGTTGCCCAGTCGTGTACTGGTGATCTGATTCACGATGTGTTGCAGAATGCGGTGGACGAAGTTCTAGAGTGGGCGGAAAGGTGGCTGATAAAAATTAATCATTCGAAAACGCAGGCTATTTATTGTACCAAAAAACGTCGCGGCCCCCCAGTAGAGATTTCTGTAGACGGAAATCGTGTACCATGGACAAATTCTGCCAAGTATCTCTGTGTCACCCTTGATAATGGCATGACCTGGCAGAAACATACATCATCCATAAAAACAAAATTCCAAATTGCGTTTCGGCAACTATATCCTTTGTTATGTAGATCCTCCAAATTGAGTTTGATAAACAAAGTTCGACTATATAAAATGATTATTAGACCAGCCATTACTTATGTATGTGCGGCTTGGTGTTTTCTTGCCAAGACACATATTATGCAAAGTCTTCAAGTACTGCAAAGCAGAACTTTGCGGACAATTTGCAACGCTCCATGGTATGTCTCAAATGAGACACTACACAGAGACCTTGACATTCCTTACTTGAGGGATTATGTCAAGCTTCAGGCGCAGCGACGTTATAGTCAAGCGGAATCGCACAGCAACCCTCTGTTGCGTGACTCAGTGGACTACACAGTGGAGCAAGTTCGTAAACATTCAAGGCCACGGCTCGCACTGTAATCGAAAGTTAGCGTGAATCTTTAGTAAACTCAAAATTACACTCTAACAAAACCGAATAAAAAAAATTTGTTTAGTTCATCTCAAAATTAATCCGTGTACCAAGTCAGAAAGCCTGGGTGTTTCCTCTTAAACTAAGCATATCTGTTTTTCTTTGCTCTTCTCCTTTTTTCTTCTCTTTCCCGTTCTCTTTTTCCTTGACTTTGTCTGGTTTCTGGGCAACCAGGACTGACAGATTCGACTAACGTACCTCAGACAGTGACTAATGGGCAAAGGTCCTACGGACCGCCCAGACAAACAAATGACGAATAGGGCAGTAGCTATGCACACTATTTTCATATAGTTTACAGATGGGTGGGGATATCCTACCTCGCTTAAAAAGTCGTTCTGATTGACAGATTTTGCTCCTCATGCCACAACATCAATACTGTTGGTCTGCATGGATGTTTTAGCTTTTACAAACACTATAAGCCCAATCTTCATTTTCCTAGTTGAAAGTAATAATTTACATGCAGACAACGAAAGATCTGGACGTAAGTGTAAGAACGCAGAAGTATGGGAACACAAATTACAGAACTATGTATTATAAAATCTAGGTATCATATAACATCCCTGGCGGGTTTTAGGTCCATCTTTCGAGTTTTTTAATAGAACAGTTTAATGCATCGTGCACCATTCATACAGCGGTATACCATTGTATACCTGAAAGCGGACGTTATCGTACATAAAGACACATCGCGTTAACAACAGCGTACAATGCATTTTTCTACTCTCTTCTATTTTGGTATGTGGCTACAGCAGTGTCTTTGTGCAAACTATGTCATGCACTTACTGCTTGTCCATATGACAATAAAGCCCTGGTGTGTCTAGCGCTAGCGAGGGTGTTTTGTAAATCAATTCACAAACCATTCCAAAAACCCGACTCCGATCCTAATCGATTCCAGGTGAATGACGCTGACTCTTGTCCTATTTAACGGACTTAACAGCGATTCCGTTGCCTCTGGGATAATGTTAATTGACAGCAGGAATAGCAGGATACCAGGCGCGGCTCTAATGAGTCTCATGTCGCGAGTGGCTCTGGCACAGAATAGCAGTTTAAAAATGAATTTCGGAGCAAATGCGAACGGTATTCTCTGGCTTGACAATGGAAGATTGCTTCATGAATATGGATGGATTTTGCTGTAAAATATGGAGAACTGCATGTGGATGAGGTTGCTTAATAAGTAAGGAGACCGATGGATGAGGGCGAAAAACGCTCTAATGAATGGCAATAGAATCTATTATATTTTTACCTTCTCATCGTATGTTCCACCTACATGTGAATTTCTATGTACCCTTCTGATTATAACCCAAGAATCCATATACCGCTAATGATCAATCATATGTTCACAAAGGCAGATACATACTGCGTTGTGGATGGTTCAATTTTAGACCACCATGAATGGATCCAATGTGGATAGCTGTACCTATGAGACATAGAACTTGCATCCATTGCACATATCGTATGGAACATATATTAAGTTTTGAAAAAATGGTTGCCATCAAATGCCTACCCAATTTTGATGTGTGATCTGGTTACCATGAAGCAGTTAAACAGATCGCGGATCATGGTGATTAATGAACGTCAATTTTTTTCAATAATTAAGGTAGATTGTCGTACAGACTTCAGATATACATGGGTGTTTCAAATTCGACCCTCACCACTGGGATCTCGGAAATTGTAAGAGATACGAAGTTGCTTAAATGGGGGCAAAGTTGCGTATTTAGGCAGTCAACAAAATGCTGCTTAGAAAGTTTCGAAATTCAAAGTACCTCAGGACAGGGAAGAAAAACGCCGAATTTTTCCAAAATCCAAAATGTTTTCCATGCCTTCAGTTGTAGTGGGATTTTAAAATAAATTGCACATTAACATTGCCACCTTTTCTCCTATACAAGACGACATAATTAGAATTCCAACTTTATTTTTTCTTATGGTCACCAAATTGGATTTTGCGCAGATGAATAAAGTTTTTAATTCTGATTTCAAAAATGTTTAATCTGTCATACATTGACATTGCTAAATCTTAGTTATTTCAGAAAAAATGAATTTCCTAGGTAGGTCTTGAAATTATCAGATTTCATTTGTTTTCTATGCCAGGCCACACCAGACCTCAAAAAAATATAGCAACAGAGTTTTGAAGTCTGAGAACAAGAGAAATAAATCGGGCAGTCAACAGTGTATAGAGAAGAGTCAGGCTTTGCCTATAAAATAACGGGCATTTTGAGCATCTGCTATGATTTACCTCTGCTTATTGATGATTATTATTATTACCATCATGTTGGGTTCACGTTTCACCACACCTTTTTATTATTTTATAATTTTCATCCAACAACAAATTCATGGCCAATTAAGGAATTACATCACTAAATTTAGGGCTGAAAGGTGCATTTAAATGTACAAAATTTCAATATACCGTCCATATGAAAAAACATAGTTGGTGCTGAATGTCAAATTGAAAATTTGACTACGCCAGCTTGTAGACGTGAATAAGTAACAATAACAGCTTGCAATTTATTTTGAAATCCCATCTCAAATAAAGTCAGAGAGAAATAAAAGTTATTTTGGAATAAATCGGGATGATCTGATGATTTCAAGGCCTACCTAGGAAATTCTGCGTTTTTTGAATTAACGAAGGTTTGGCAATGTAAATGTATGATGTATTATATATTTTTGGAATCAGAATAAAAAGCTCTATTCATCTTTGTGAAACTTCAGGGCAAGAGACGAAACGTCATATTGAAATTCTAATTATGCTATCTTGTAGATATAGAGGCAATGTTGACGTGCAAGTTATTTTGAAATCCCACTACCACTAAAGTCAGGGAAAAATTAAAGCAATTTTGGGAAAATTCGGTGTTTTCCGGAAGTGCTTTGAATTTCAAAACTGTCTAAGCTGCATTTTGTTGATTAATTAAATATGCTATGTCTCCGTTTAAGCGACTTCGTATCTCTTACAGTTTCCAAGATCCTAATAGCGAAGGTCAAATTTGAAACACTCTGTATAAATATATACATCTTAGTTGGACTGTTTCCCAAAACTGAAATTGTAAACCTGTTCAGAGATAAAAGTGTTAGCCAGGAAAACATTGATAGGGCGATTAGACACTGTGCAGAAGGTAGACCTTGCATTAATTGGAAATTAGAAGACCTCCTGTTCTCAAAACATAATTGGAATATCTAGTCTAAAACTATTTGAGGGTCTCGTACAAAACTATATAGAAGACTTTGTCAAGAAATGAAGTGTCTCAAATACACTCAGGCACAACTCGAAACAACACCTGTATGTTGCAAGGCTCTGAGGCATAGGGATTTGATGAGGAACCGCGTGGTTGTGATGGATGATGAACGGTGTCGCATTAAAATAGTAAAATTTAAAGCAAGAAATACATTTTTTGACAGAGTCCGATTCATGATTTTTGAGGCTGGGTTTCCAGCACTTTATGTTGGTCGAGTTCGATGAGGAACTGTGGACGCCGAGCTTTATACTCGAAGTTGCTTACCAAAACTACTTCGTGCTGTTATGTCAAGGGAGCTCGAGAATAGATTGTGGTATAGAATAACGTTGTGTACGGAGAGGACTCCCCAAAATGTCGTTCGTTACTTTGTTATAAAATGTATGACAACAGATTGAAAGCTTAAAATAAATAATAGTTTAAAAATCTAAAAAAAACACGCTTTTATAGCCAACCGAACTGAAAAGTAGAAAATAATTTTTAATTACAAAGAGTTTATGTTACAGTAGCAGATGGTCGAACAATCAGCATAATTAATGACTTCAAAATAAAATTATAATAGAATTTGAGTTATTAACAAAATAATTCAATTCAGAATAATTTAAAACTATTTTATATTTTTTAGTTCGGTTAGCTATAAAAAAGTGTGTTTTTTAGTTTTTTAAACTATTATTTATTTTTCATTTTTTAGTTAGATTTATCAATTAGTTTTTTGTGGACATGTGATATTGAAATGTCCTACGAATCATTCCGTAATCTAATCATTTCATTTCATTGTTGCATGGGGTTTTTCCTGTTAACTTGGAGTAATCAAGTTCTTCAAACCGAATACCATCTAAAGATCTTACACAACTAAGTGCTACATAAGCTTGTCCCTCAACAAACAGTCGCGAGCCTAGATAAATGACTGCATAATCGACTGTACAACCTTGCATTTTGTGGACGGTCGAAGCCCAACTCAAGATTAATGGCAACATTCGCAATGAACAAGGTGAGACTGCACTACCTTGAAAAAGTATCTGCCACCGTTGTGCTGTGCCGAGAGCCCGAACCAACAAAGAGTAAGTACAAAATTGCACGCATGCGCAGATCGTGCGCTAGCTCTATCTCTCTTACTCCCCTACAGAGGGTCTATAAAAGAATTTATCAATCCTGGCGATCCTAACAAGGATAATAGAAAACTGTTATCAAATTATTGCATTGTCCTTGATACGTGTGCGAAGTTTCAAATTAATCAAGCTTCTGGAAATTGGTGAAAATTATGCTCAAAGATTCCGTTTCATACATACATACAGGCCAAGCTAATAAAAAGCGTGTTAATGAATAATTGTGGGCGGGCAAAAATCGGGAAGTTAACATGAACATCGTTCAACGGAAGATGAGATAGGTCTTAAACAAATTGCGTGCTGTTTTCGTATTATCGAAGGAGGTCAAATCTACCATAATATTAATATTTTAATAAAAGTCCGCTGATCAAGCCTGTTAAATTTATTCTTAAAACTTATGTACCAAAAGTTACGAATAATCGACATTTCGTGGACCCTGAGACTGCAGTCTATTATGCAAAAAGAACAGGACTCTCGGTGCAGGAGGTTTGAGATTTGAGGGGTCTTGGACACTTTAATAGTACAATTTGTTTCATTTGTTGGGCGTGGGGGGAGAGGGAGGGGCAGGTAACTACTGACAATTCTAACAAAATAGTTTGCATTTATGCCTTTCTCAACAAGTCTCTTACATGCTTGCCTATGAAAATCATTATTAGTCACTGCCATCGGTCAGTCTGCAATTTAATGAGCTGTGTAGTAGTACATGAGATTAGACAAATTTCAGTAAGTAGACAACCCAATATTGCGAACAGCTCAGCTTCCGTATGTTTTAACGAGGGTATAATACCTTACTACTCTTCTCTACATTTTCTATCAAACTCCATCATGTCAAAGACACTACATTACATTTTTCTGTTAGTACTTTGGGCAATTTAGCCTTATCTTACTCCTAAGACGCCTACTTAATCTGCAATGGCCTAAAAGGTAACCGTAGCGTTCGGTGCTTTTGTTCATTATAAATCTATTGACTTCTCTACTGTCTCCTCATGGTAACATGACGTGTTTCCTGTGTGGATTCAAAATCTTTATATATGGTAGACCTTTCGTTATTTGATATATCGCTGTCACTAAATCAAAAAGAGTGACGTCTTTGGAAAAGATTAAACTTTGAAGTTGAATATACCTGAAACATGCCAGCATTGAGAAGGGGTAGACCTCTGCCATCTTTACTTTCCAAGTCAGTGAAATAAATTGGAATCTTATCTAGCTAATCAGACATTTTTCTGAAGTGGACATATTGAGCGAGTCTTTTCTGTGCTTTTATTCTGGTGTACCAACATTACACAGTTTAACCAGTAGTCAAATTGATATCTAAAATGTGCTTCGTTAGCTATGTTGATCTTCTCAGAGCAAGATCAAAATCGTGGTAACATTTTTTCCAGGGCATGAGTTTATACAACTAGGCACAGTTTCACAAAAATAATTTAAGGTGTATGATGCGTTTTGCCTTTTATCCCAACTATCTTAGGTCACTGTGTTACTATCAGCTAGCGTTACGTTGCTCCAATGTGCGAGGTTGGCCATCATGGACCATCGCAGAAACAGTGTTCAAGGTAGTCCGCCCCTGACCTACCGCGGCGTGTGTACACATACCCAACTTCGCTTACACAATTTCCAATGGCACGGGAGGCGGTTGGCGCTCCTGACCGGCTGACAGGCGGAGTATCGACCACCCCCGGTGGTGGGGCGGCATAGAGCGACCTTCGCATGCCGTCAGCCACGCGGTGACGGTGGCGGGCTCGCCGTTTGCCGCCCCAGTGTCAGTGCAACCGCCACCGCTGCACGTGCCGACCCCCACCACGCGGATGAGGTGCCCCATGCGGTGCTCGCCGCCCGGAAATGGGGAATGGCATGAACAAGGCAAGTCGCTTCACACAAACCTCACACGTTCATTGCTCTAGATTTACCATGTAAACTAAATTTACGGATGTTGCATCTGTAGATCTAGGAAATGGAGCACAACAACATAGTTCTGCATGTAGCTATAGGTTCAGTGATAGTAGTATCGTTCTTTCATTCTACAAACATTAATGGAAACAAGAAAGTGGAATAAAATCACAGATTTTAGCTTCCTAGCTTTATAAGAGTGCATTGTTAGAAATATTGAAATCATATTGCACTTTGATCAAATTAAAAGTATGAATTGAATAACAAAATAGCTAGATTTCTCAAATAGTCATTCAGGTATGTACGCCAAATATTTGTACAGTCGCATTTCATTCTTTGATTTTATTTTGTTCCTTCTGTTTACCCCTTTCCAATTTATAAATCTTAATTATTTAATGCTACTTAATGAACGCAAGCAACATTAAAACTTCTTTAAGTAAATTCACTATTATTGTTCAGAAAACTGTATTCGTAGGTTTTAACTTTCGTCATATAGCTTTGGTAGATCAGACACTTATTCATTCAGCTTGTAAATGTTTTTGTGTTTGTACAGTAAGTAAAGAAAAATGTTGTGGTCTTCTGCATCTTGTGTCATAGAGATGTGCGATATAAATCATGCGTCTCATGTTGTGCTCGCCGCCGTCACAAGGGGAATTGCATGAACCAGGCAAATCCCTCTACCCAAACCCCACATATCTATTACCTCAGTGTTAATATGTACACTCACTCCACCAACGTTGCACTTTTTGATATAGGAAATGCACTACAAGAACTTACTTATAGCTGTAGCTTTACGGATGCACGTTATGTAGTGTCATCCTTGAATTTCGCACCTAGGAACGACAATAAGAGACTAAAACAAAACCTCGGCCATCAGTTTCACACAAGTATTTTGCAATGGCATTAGATCTTGTATGATATTGACCTTCAGATGCACTTCTTTCATTTTTTAATTCATTGTATTTTCATGTAATATTGAACTCTGCATGCATGATGAATCTATAATCTTTTTTCGTTAGTGAATCAGTGTCGCTTCCTTTTAATAATGTCAGTATACCAGAAACTGATTTGCAGACGTTTGTGAGTTTGTCTTATAACTAAAAAGACAAATTCTTTGTAGAAAAGCTCCGCGAAGGAAGATCTTTTATACTGGGTACCATAATCGCTATGAAAAGCGATTCAACTTTCGACTGTGGAATTACTCAAGGCTATTAGAACTGGGAGATACGTTCTTCTACTAAATTATTCTACGATCTTTACACTATAGATAAAAAAGGAGTTACTGCTTTCAAAATCAGGAACATGAACACAAATTCCTATGCGATCCCACCACCCCCCCGTCCAGGTACCTTTACTCTTTACGGCCCCAGTGGCGGTACGTGGACTGGACGCTCCTGCCACTTGTGTTCTTGTCGGACGCAACCCCCCCCCAATTTTGCCCTTTAAAATTTCGCGTTTCTTCCGCTCGGAATTTTGCCCCGCCGAAAAGTGGTGTAAGCTAATCTTGACGCGGAAGCACGGCTGCAGAATAGAAGTGGTCATTTTTACTCGTTTACCTTCCTTTGGTTTTACGAGTCGTCCTCTATTTGGGGTTCCATCGGTGAGACCTTGACCTGAGGTTCGCGTTAAGGTTTCCCAAGATGGCTTTTGGGTTCTTCGGTTTGTTAATCTTCTTTCTTAAGTTGCCTCCTGACCACCTCGACAAATGTCGACGTCGCCAGAAGGCCTGCTTGTTAGTGCCATCTAAATGCCCCACACCTCAAATGAGATCGGTGTATTCAGCAAGGCAAATCTTCGCGGTCTGACCACCGGTACTGCACAGGGCTTTGCCTCTCTTGCTTGCAGTACCTTCATCGCGAGGTTCTACCCCTCTTCTTTAGGACTCATCAGATGGTGTGTCCTGTGTCTTCTAGCAGCTGGCTTTTCGGTCTTTTGTGCCTATGTATGTATCTTGGATCGTAGTCCAGGGCTGCCCTGATGAGCTGGTTCTCGTGGTCTTCGGCGTTGTTGAAGAACTTCTGGGCTGTCATCTTCATTACTTCCAGCACTGGCACTTGTCCTAGGTCTTCGTATAGCACTCGATTTGGCACGTGCCAAAGTGTATTGACCGCTTATCGGAGTGCTATGTTGTGTTGTGCTTGCAGCTTCTTCTTCCACGTCTTGGCTCCGTAGCTCAACTGACGAGTAGGTCATGATTAGCAACATTTTATTCTTCAGGGAGGGCTTGCTCCTCCTTCCAAGCACCGGTCTTAACTTGGTTCTTGCCATCTTGGCTTTTGTGACTTGGGCTTCTATGTGGGGCCTCCAGGTGAGTCCCTTATCGATCTTGACGACGAGGTACGTGCTGGTGTCTTTCCACTGTACCGCTTTTTCCTCGTGGCACATTCGGTCTGTCTCCACCTGTGTAGTTATCATATTGAGATTGCCTTCAGGGGACTTCAATTTTTCCTGAGCCGCATCGCCTCGGTCTTGTCTGGATCTAGCTGGATTTCTTGCACCATTCCTGTAGACTGGTTTTCGCTCTTTGTAGGTAGCTTTCAAAATGGAACGCGGCTTGGCTTTTATTTCGGTGAGGCCCGCGCGCAGGTATACAAGGGTCTACTGCCGCAGCAGTGGCGCACGATGCATTATAATACTACCCTTTTCTATTTTGTTACTTAGATATGAAATGACGATTACCGCTCACATAAGGCGGATGGCCTTATCAAGGAGAGTTGCATCACACAATTCCCATACACTCATCGCTAAAGATTCACCTTGTTCAACTTCGATTTCTTATTTTAGTTAACATGTTTTTAATCCAACAATTTCTTATATTCTGATGTAGTAACGGACTTTCGTAAATGATGCTTTCGCCATTTGTTTAAAGGCCTGTGACTTACAAAGCTTAAGTAAATGCGCAATTACAACATTAAAAATATTAGTGAATCGGTATCGCTTTTAATAAGTCCACATACATACATAGGCAGCAGCGGTGGCCCCAGTAGTAGACTCCTCGGTCTCCTGATCAGTCGCCGTGCGCTATGCGGGTTTGAATCCCGTCCCAAGAGAAATTTTTCTCTTGGCTATGGATGTTGTGATTGTCCGTATGTGGTAGACAGTCTCTGACTGCCGCACGAAGAGGTACCACCCGGCGGATCTCGTAGGCGTGGCCAGAATGTGTGCATGTTGCATGTACACGTGTTCCCTCGCCAGAGTCCGTGTGGCGCTCCCCCTTTCCCCTGTATCCCCCTATAGCCCACGGTACCGCATGGTGGTTGGAGGATAAAAAAGTGTCCAGTAATAGTACACCTCAGTATCAGTTCACCGACCATTGATGTACCCAACTTGTCAGTGTTATTAGATGGGTATATTCTGCTATTATGCCTGTACAGTAACTAAAGAAACTAGTGGTTGCTTCCTCGTCGTGATAATCAATCAAAGAGATGTCTATGTATTAGGTACGTAAGATGTAAATGCTGGTTAATTAAGATGTTCCATCAGAACAAATTAAATGACTTGAGACTGTTTCAGAAGTAACATTATTGTGGCGCGTTTTTACTTCGAAGTTTCATCAGGTTATTCAGTTGACCATTTATGGTAGTTACCTTGATTATGACAAACTTAGGTTACGTTTAATTACGGGTATGGTATACTTCATACAGAGTTGAAACAAAAACATAATAAAGTATTGACATGTAATTGAGCGAGGCATCCCTCGTTTCCTTTCCGTTTAATCGCCCTTGAACAATTATGATCGATACACAAAATCATGAGGTCTACCATAAAATTAATAATGTATGATACCAACGACAAAACGTGTCCCTTTACAACAGCGCTTTTTGTATCGGTATCTTTTATTCAATAATGTTTCACAGTTCAGTCACGCAATATGAGTCTTTGCGGAAGGTTGTGAGTGGAAGTGATTCGGTACCAGAAAGTGAAAGTTTCAGGCTATATTAGACCAATAATGGATGAGGTGAGAGAACTTTAATACGGATAATAATCGTTACTTTTTATATGGATCTTTGATACGTTCCATATTGGAGTGAAAGTTCCTGGTATAAAATCGAGAAGCTTTTTATCACGACTTCGGAGTTCGAGAGGAATCTAAATATATGGTCAATGCTCGACATGTTGCATTCCATCCGGTTTATATCATAACAATTGAAACACGTTGATCATAACTAATAGAAAATGATTGCTAGAAAGAATATTTGCCAGAGCATGTTCAACTGAAATGGTGAAAATGCTGATTGCAATTCGTAACTCTGTGTGCGGAACAATGTTCGGACATGCTCTCAAAAACCAACTTTGTGTTTTTCAGGGGTTACAAATGTTACAAAATATAATAGAGGTTATTGAAACTGTAATTCGAGTGCGCGCGGCTGATTGATGGCTAAATCAATCAAAACTTCCAGCGCTGAAAAGGCTACGAAAATTCCCTTTTATATAAAAGTGCCTGTGAATGGAAAAAGCTTTCTGTTAGAAATATTCGAAATCCCAACATACAGCATTGGCGATCATTTGTCATGCACGTCAGGTGTGGGATATTTTGATAAAAGTATGTTTAAGCCACCACTTCTTGGTGAGAGGAATGGGAATCAATTTGCTAATTCAGTATTCATCCATAAAAGTGAAGCGTTTCCAACTAATTACTATTTTGTATTATGCAGCTGTATTGACGCAGAAGATACTAGTCCTCACGAAAACACTAGCAGAATTTTACTCTGCACTGCTCTAATAGCACCCACGAACCCTTAGAACAGCTAAATAAATGAAAGCCCAGGTTTCAAGACGGTCATTCCGCACTAGTAATAAAAAATAACAGCCTTTAATTTGATGCTTTCACTCGACCTGCGATGAGGGTTATACTTACCCAACGTGCATTGCTTCTAAATATACTGAACATTCAAATGCATTAAAAGCCTTCCTCCTATTGGAATGTTATGCTATAATTTATTTCACTGCTTTCTGGAAACATACAATAAAAATGTATTTCCCTAATGTGTTTCTTGTGTTTGCTCAAGAAATTGTGATCAACCAATAATTTGACCAATTTAACAAACTTCAAGAGTAAAATCATTATCAGTATTATAGATACAAGCCAGTCAGTCAATGGGTGCATTCAGAAAACGAAGGTGATCCAGTGATTAATGTCAGTGTCTATTTTATTTTGGAAGCTTTGATTAGTCAGGGTCCATCTGATATCTGACAGTTGATTTGCATTTATATATGCGGAACTTAATTCTTTAGTTTTAACTTCTACATAATCCACTTCAAAACAATGAACGATTAGTTTTTCTTAAATCCTTGTATATTAGCCCTCAATGAAAAAAATCGTCAGCGTTATCTTTCATATTATTGAGTCTGTATCGCTATATGAAAGAAGTCATCATACATTATATGGTTCATGGCGTCATGAATAAAATTATTTACAACTTCTTGATAACCCCTATGCTTGAACAACGCTGGAGATCTTTCTCCAACTACCAGGCATTGTGCAGTTTTTGCAAAGCGACTGCCTTAACCTTAATACCGGGGCACTGCGATTGCTATAACGAACTCAGAGACGCCTTCTTAATCCAATGACTAAGGTTAGCAGAACTGCTAAGAACTTCTTCAGGCAGATTGCCCACAGTCTCGACATTCTAGGAACAAAGTAGCGGGCGTACCAGTCAGTTTTGGTTGTAAGTTTGACAGAGTTGGGATAGTAGGCAGAAGCCTTTAGGGTCTGTCTGGTAGGCTCAACGTGCGGCGGCATCATGGAGGAAAGCTCTCAGGAGTAAAGCAATATGACATAGCGGTAGGAGAGAGTAAGACCCTAACAGAAGTATCATCGATTAGTCGAACAGTCGTCTGAAAAACATCGGGCATAGACAATGTAGTCGGGGTGGCAGCACCCCAAACATGTGAGCAGTAATTGACGCTAAGTCTTACTTGGGGCTGTTTGCGCTTATTAACACAACTTCATTCTCATTTTGCTTCTTCTCTCTCTCCCTTCTACCCCCCCCCCCCTCCCTATCATTTCTTGCCTTTAATCCTCTCCCTTTTTCCTTTCCTCTTCTACTCCTTCCTCCCCCTTCCTCATTTATTTCCAGCAAGTCTGAGTCAGTGGCATCGTTGCCTGGTATCAAATCAAGTCCTCAGTGGTATCGACTCCGACCAGCCGAAATGAATGGCTCTTTGGTGGAGCTCGGCGATTCATCGAAAACGGATGAGCTCTAGGTCGCATCTTGTTAATCGAGGTACAGTACTGTGATATGGAAGCATTAAGCTGCACTAGATATCTTGTCAGAGGATGTAGCGTGCCACAGCTGATCGAGAGCTTTCGTGATGTCAACGGCAACGACATTAGCCTCATCATATGACTGGATGTGTTTACTCCTCAGTTGTGTGGCATTAGCGAGGAGGACCTGGTTGATAGCATGGTACCGAGATGTATTTACTGTCTCGTGCTGAGCAAGCCGTGATGATCGATGTACTCTACAAGCTTCCTATTTAAGAACTTCCCCATTGCTTTGCTAATAACAGAGAGCTGAATTATATGTCTGTAGTTGCGCTGATCGGTCTTAGATCGCAAAAGAATCGGAGAAATCTTCGCTGTACATCTCTCTAATACAATAGAAGGAATCTAGTATAAAAATTCCATACAGTACAGCGTCGTTTTAGTTAATTTTGAGACAACCGCCTTCCCTACAGTTGAGAGTGGAACGATTCTCCGAAGAGTCTTACTCTTTGGGCACTGCTTTAGGAGCAATATACTGACGAATATTCTTTCGCCTACTGAGGGTTAAACACTTGAATCTGAGCGCAAAAGCTTTCTATTTGAGGCATTCTAAATCCCAGAATAAAGTCCTGGCGTCGACGCGAGACGATGGCTCATAAATATGTAACCACATCGTATGTGTGTTATTCCGGCGTTCAATCCGCTATTTCCTGGTTAGAGTACTCGATAGGGTTTTGCGTCTGGCAGCGATACGGTATTGCAAGCCCTGTGGGAAATCTGAACTATCGGAGGCTTTCCTTCGTTTGCAAATAAGCCGGCCAGAATACAAAACTGCAATCTCATCCTGACCTAGATTCTATGTTTTAAACATCAACAAAAATATTGGAGGAACGATTTATTTTATCTTCTGAAAAATGAATGAGTTCGTTTATAAAGGCATTTCAGAGACTGTAAGAGCTTTCAAGATGGATAGGGATGAGGTGCATTCCAACCGTTCTGAGATTCAGTACACTGCTTTGTTAAATAAGTAACATCCAAGAGAGCACCCTGTCCTCATAACCGTTGGATAAATAAACTTCGCGAAAAAGTTAAGCAGTGGTAATTCATGGGCATGGGATCATAATTGTTGATTTGGTACGAACAAGTATTGCCAGTCACTAGCTCAAGCCATTTGCTTATCGTGACCTTGACTTCCATTTTTAAAACTGCATTAATTCATAGGGTGTCATAAAGTTGACGCAATCCATGAAGATACGTGTTCTATGACTATGTGGAACATTAATGAAAACGTGTAGCAACATCTCTAACTTTACTTGTGTCAGCAATAATCGTATGCTTCACTACCAACAGATTCTCAAAGAATGGTGATTCATAGGATTAGATGCTTATCTTGGGTGCCTTTTTTAGACAAAGGAGAATTGAATTGTATCATATTCGAATAGGCGTATCAGTCAATTGATAATCTATTTTTTATTCTCAGGTGCTTCCAGGGCTTTATGTGGGGAACTACAGGGACTCAAAAGATGCCCAACAACTGCAAAAGTACAACATCACTCATATTTTAGCAATACATGACACTGCAAGACGGATACATTCTGTGAGTCTTATTTCCTTTTGCATCCTTTAGCTGATCGGTAGTGTTTCGTAACACAGAGTGATACCAATAAACTCAAGGTTTAGCTTAAAAAGAATCAGCAGAATGGGTTTTCCGTATGCACGACTTTTTCCAGATTTCAATACCCTGTCGAAAGTTCAAATCTCTTGCCATCAATATATCTTTCTAGACCTAGCTTATATTGTTGCCATTTTGAATATAGTTTTGTCTTATTCTACATCTACATACAGTGCTTTTCTTTAATGTGCCCCTCCCCTTTGATTTTTTGAACGGATACATTCAAAAAATTAAATCTTGAGTTAATGAAATTGATGCGTGGATACCATATTTTAGAGCAAAATTGACAGATGAAAATGTCAAGATGGCCTCTGGGCACCATCTTGGAAAATAAATTATATGAAAACGGGGTCTTGTGTTCCATCATTTTGAAGCTCCTGACGAGTACTTTTTACTATATAACCCTAGAATATGAAATCAATATCTTTACCTACTACAAAATGGTGGTACATTTAATAATCACTTGAACACAAACCTACTAACATGCATATCTCTACAAATAATTGTAGTTCCCTGCCGTATCCACAGCAACAGCGATAAAAACTTGTTTTGTTCTTTTTGTTGATAGTGACAAGAATATCAGTACGAAAACAAACATCACTGTACAGTTAAAATATTCTTATTTAGTTTTCGGTTTTAGTGCTAGATACTGTTTGAACTATTTTTTAAATAGTCAATTCTCGTCCATTGGAAGAAAAAATCGAAGCGATTTTCATTTATGGTGCGACGCGTAACTTTCACGAGACCGAAAGGATTTTTAATGATCGTTTCCCGAATCGACCTATATGTAGAAAATATTTAAGGAAACTTGTATCTAAATTTACAGCTACTGGTAGTGTAAACAACAAAAAGCCCCCAGGTCATCCGACCATCCCGGAAGAAAAGCAAGTACAAATAATTATTGAGATCATAGTAAATCGCCAACAGTCTACTTCCTTCATCGCGAATGTATGTGAGGTTTGTCCTTCTACTGTATGGAGACTTTTGAAAAAGAATAAGTATTGGGAAATCATATTGTGGAGCTATTCATCGAATAAACTTTAACCGGGGAATTGTATTTGGATATGCTGGAAAATACTATTGACCCTCTAATCACCGAAATAGTCGAAGTGAATCCTAATGAATTCGGTACTGATATTGTATTCCAGCAAGATGGTGCTCCACCACACTACTACAGACAAGATATGAATTATTTAGATAACAATTTCTCCGGTCGTTGGATTGGTCGTCGAGGTCCTGTGGAATGGCCAGCTCGCTCGCCAGATTTGACACCTTTAGACTTTTTTTATGGGGCAAAAGGTGTATGAAACTGAGCCTGCTTCAGTATTGCATATACGGCTGAGAATAACAAATATTTGTAGAAATATCGATGCTACTATGTTTGAAAATGTTCGACGCGAAATTACGGACCGGCTGTTATTGTGTTAAGAAGCTCAAGGCAACCATTTCCAGCAAACTGAACTCAACGTATTTATTCAAATTATCAAGTTAAATGTCAATGTATTCAGGTAATTACTAATTGTACCACCATTTTGTAGTAGGTAAAGGTATTGACTTTATATTCTAGGGTTATAAAGTACTTATCAGGAGCTTCAAAATGATGTGCCATAAGACCCAGTTTTCTTATAATTTTTTTCCAAGATAGCGCTCAGCGGCCATCTTGACATTTCCATCTGTCAATTTTACTCTAAAATATGGTATCCACGCATCAATTTCATTACCTCAAGTTTTATTTTTTTGAACTGATCCGTTCAAAAAATCAAAGGGGAGGGGAACATGAAAGAAAAGCACTGTATAATAAGTGTGTCAATTTAGATAATTTTGCGGAATTTTAGAAGCAATTGTTGGTACAAATCTTATTATTTTCCAAGGCTTTATCCGCGCCAAAGCTGGCGACTATTCATTTTACGCACTGTGGTACGAAAGAGTTGAGTTAAAGTTGGTGAGAACCATGCAATAATCCTGCTTCCGACACCACGTTTTCCTTGTGTATCTCTTTGCAACATTATCTGTAACAGTCCAAGCATTTTCTTGTTTCTCATTATGTAGTCCGAGCTTTAGTGTTTTCATTGTAGAATCAGTATAGTAATCACCAGTGGCGTAGCCAGGGGGAGCGGCGCGGGCGGTCCGCACCTGGTGGTGACTCATTTTTAAGAACAATGTACAAACATAAAAAAATTGCACAGATTGCATGGCAAAGTAAAGGCTTAACTGCTGACGAAACTGCTATCAAAATAGATGCACTTCGTACTTATATCGAAGAAAAACGGGGTTACATTGTCGAAGAGGCAATAGATATTGCTACAAAAAAATCAGAAGACTACAGAAAGACGACTTCGTCGTAAAAAACGGGTGGTTGATGAGATGGCCAGTGATGCAGGACTCACACTAAAAGAAGAAGTTAAATAAGATATGTTGGAATGTCTTAAACGATTCAGAGTTGAACTCCAAACAAGATCAAAGTCTCTTCAAGACCTAGCTTCATTGTTCGAGATCGTACAACGAAATAAAACTACCTAGTCTGCAAGATGATATTTTATAGGATTTTTTTTACGTTTTATAGGTTTCTTACATAATGGAAGGATAAAGGCTTTGTAATTTTTGAAAATCGGTCCATTGGCGGCGGAGCTATGAATAAAAATCAAAATAAGATTGCTTAAGACTCATTTCACAGACTCCCGCTCACTTTCAGCAATAATTCTGTATGGGATGAAAATTAAGGGTGGGGGTTGCAAGGTTTGCGTTTATATATTAATATGCTTCCAACTCCGATAATTATATCCACGTATTAAACATATTTCACTTATCCATTTTACTGTATACTTGCCCTTAATGGCAGTTTACCCATCGCAATTTTGATTGCAGCGTGGCAATTGCAACTGCAAATAGGTGTGAACTGGTCTGTTAACTTTTTATTCCGCACGCCTACTGACGGGGAAGTTTGTAAGCGCGAAAATTTTTCGAAAATGAGATGTTATGATTTTTGGATGTTATATGACATGTACATCACGAAAAACCATGTCACTCATTTCTGTAGATCTGTATGTATGTCGGTTTGTCCGCCTATAACTTGAGAAGTACCGCTTGGATTTCGATGAATCTTTTACACAATGTTACTACTACGAGGGATGTCTTTTAAGTTTTGCATATGGAAATAAAACAACACGGTAGGTAGTTTTAACTGACTTTATTGTTTTTCGAAGTATTCTCCATTAAGCTCGGTAATGACTTTTGGTAAACAAATGGTGGTATACCAATCCGCAGTAACAGTTATTTGCTCATTAAGAGGAATTGTTGCAATATGACCCGCTTTTGACACGGATGTCGCGACCATCTTTTTCGAAACACTTCGAGAACGGATGACTTTTGTTGGCTTTTCTTCACATTGGAACACCCAAACAGCCGACTGTCGTTTATTTTCTGGTTCGTAATAGTAAATCCACGATTCATCACCACTAACAATGCTGAACACTTACTCCTAATTCTTCATGCAAAATTTTATGAATTGACGTCCTTGAGATCTTCAAGGACGCCTCAATCTCTCTATATGTCTCATGTCTATCTTCAATGATGAGTTTGCGCACAGCATCGAAGTTTTCCTGGGTGACTGCCGTTTTTGGTGCACCCACCCTGGGATCGTCGCTAAGACTCACCCGTCCACGTTTGAATTTTCCATACCAACGGGAAATTGTCGACTGACGTGGCGCTTCGTTGCCGAAAACAGATAGTAACTCAGCAAGGCATTCTTGTTGCGATAATTGTCTCTGAAAGTTGTAATAAATTATGGCGCGAAAATGTTCTCAGTTGAGTTCCATTTTTCTAATGACTTGGTGGCACTTAAAAATTTACTGTAGTGAGAACACTGCACGTATTGTTGTGAAACTTTGAATTTAAGTTTACAAAACATTGAGGTTAAGATTCAGTACTTACGTTCGGTCCGCGCGGCCTACTATGTTTCTATATGCAAAACTTAAAAGACATCCCTCGTATGCCGAGGTCGCAGAGGCTGTGCAATTTTTGGGAATTGGTCCAGTGGCGTCGGAGAAAATCATAAAAAAAGTGATAATCGCTCAAACTCCGTTTTTTTATGTTTCGGACGATCCTGGTCATTTTCGGAGAAATTTTTGTAGGGGTTAAACATTGGGGCTTAGGGATTGCAGGGACTGGGGAGGATATATCTCAATTTTTTTACAATGGTAAATTTATACGCTTCCAACCCCAGCAATTCTACGCACATGTTAGGCATATTTAACTCATCATTGATGTCCCCGTACATTTTCCTTAAAACTTAGAGATATCTCCTACAGTCGTACCCCGATGGACAAGCGTGGTCGTCGGTGGTCGTACGTCACAGCCGGCAATCGCTTCCAGACTATTGTGGGCTGCGTGAACTGTGCATAGTGGAGTCCCAGTATCGTCATTCACGCGGGATTGGTCATTACAACGATCATGTACACGTACAGCTATTAATGTCACGGGGAGGAGGAAGGTTACACATGTTCGTGGCTAATTCTTTTCTCAGAAGGGCTAACTTTTGCTAAATGCCATTTAATCTAAAACGAGTCAACTTGTTCTGAGCATAATATTTCATGAATTCATGGCAGTGCTACGAGGAAGGGGCAGAGTCAACCTTATTGATGTCATTTTTTTTCATTCTGAGGGGAACTTTGTATATCAAATATCGTTACGTTTTTGGTGGTTAATCGAAATAGAATATTTGATCGATATCAACTTCCGTACAAATTTGACACCATGAAAAATAAGGCCAAGCTTAGAACCTATAGCGCCCGGTTTGCATCCTGCCGAAGCATTATAAATAGATTTGCCTGTTTTCCGATATGTAAGAATTATGCTTCGAAAGCCATTAGTCTTTTGAGCTCCTTCGACAGTTATATTGATTACATATTATATTTAGCTTTCTACTA